AAAAAAAAAAAAAAATGGACTTGACAAAACATTGACTACTTTTCACCACTAAGCACAAGTAGAGGAAATCGGAACCTTTTCCGTTCTTTTGTAGCTTTCTAGAGGGTGGCATCCCAGTGGTGCCAAATTTTTCTCTCCATAAAAGGAAGTTTTTGTACAGGCCTAAAGGGTAACCCGATCCATGACCAAGGATGTTTCAAATTTTTAGTAAAACTGAATAATCTTATCAGAAATCAGTTTGGAAACAAATGAGCAAGTTTTGTAAGTCAGTTTCTATTTGGTTATGTTATTCGTCGATCACCTGTGCTTTTGGTGGTGGGCTGGTCGTGGATAGTTGACAGCTGGAACAGGACTTTCGTGGTGATCATGCTAACACAAATTGTTGTCTTGGAACAATATTAGCCATGTTATTCATATGTTATAAAATGTTGGATTCTATAATGTTGGGCTTCATATTCAAATGGAAAAGCTTTTTTTTTCAGTAACTCGTAAATGGAGCAAAGTTGGTATCTGTTGTAGGATTTCAGGGGTGGCAATGCGCAAATCCTATCCTCCAATTTTTAAGATTTACTTGCACATTCTGATTACTGGAGCTAGTGGATTTCAAGGTGTTGCGATCCTAGGATCTAGATCCTAAGTAGTGCATCTCTCAGCATAGAACCTTACGTAGTTGTCAGCCTACCACTATGAAAGTCATTGCCAAATCAAAATCTTAAATTTCAGATAGAATCATTCAACTCAGTGCCTTGTGCTACTTTTGATCTTAGAACACCATAATCATCTATGAGCCATCAATTCTGGCTTTAGCTGCCTCTATTTCGTCCTAGTATTCCTCGTTTCAACTAGTCACCTGTGAAACTCTTCTCCTGCAACAGATGACAAAGAGTGTGGTTGGGGTATATGGACAGTGGATGAAACATGCATTCTGATCTGCATCATTCCACGCTATTGTGACCTTGAGAAAACTGCTGCGATTAGCCAATATTCATAAAAGAATTCCAAGGAAGTCAAAGGCCAGAGCCAAGAGCCAAGACATACAACAGTATCTGCATTATCTTCTTGCAAATCCCAAGTTGTGTAGCTGTAGCATGCCCAAAGTGCTCACATTCAGAAGTTTCATTGAGTATTTCAGCATTGGGTTGAATATAATTAGATCTGTTTCAGCTCATTGAATGGGTTAGCGGGTCTCAGATGGTTTTTGCTTTGAATATACTTTTATCATTGCGGAGTAGATCTTTCGTAGGGCCTTTCTTCTAAATTGTTTCATTTGGTTTCCTTCTAGTTAAGCTTGTTGATATCTACCTTTTACTGCCTGGGCTATATGTTGCTGATAATGCTTTTCTAACTTTCGAAGCGGACACCAAAAAATTGCACAACAATTTTAGTTCTGCTTTTGACTAGTTAATTTCTTTTCTGCTAATACTAAATATGAGTTAATCCATGCCTTTTGAAAATATAAATTGAAAAGAAAGGACCCTCTTTCATTATCCTTCACTTGCATATTTCGGAACTAGCGATCTGGATATCCATTTAAAGCAGTTCATCCCAGATCATGAGTAAATATATGTTGCTCGAGTTACTGTTCCCCCAAATCCAACGGAGAGCACTCAATTGCCCTAAAATTAAATTAGGTTAACATGAAATATAGTTGAAGAATTTTTAGAATCCACTATTGTTTAGTGGCTATTAACTTCCTATAGCTACCATATATATAATTATTTCCTATAGCTACTATTCAGTTGTTACGGTAGTGTATTCGCTTTATTCGCACTGTTGTATTCATGAATACATTAACAAATATCGCTTAAAAATCAGGGCAGTCCAGTTGTAGGCATGTATTCACATGTATTTGCGCCATGTATTTATGAATACAACAGCAAAAAACGCCTAAAATCAGAGCAGTCGGGTTGTACGCACATGTATTCGCGCTGCTGTATTCATGAATACATCAGTAAAAAGTTTCATGAATACAACAGTAAAAAAACGCCTAAAATCAAGGCAGTCTCAGCTGTACGCGCATGTATTCACGCTGCTGTATTCATGAATACATCAGTAAAAAGCGCCTAAAATCAGGGGAGTCCCAGCTGTACACGCATGTATTCACATGTATTCATGCTGCTGTATTCATGAATACATCAGTAAAAAGCGCCTAAAATCAGGGCAGTCCCAGCTGTACGCACATGTATTCGCCTCATGTATTCATGAATACAATAACGACAATCATCTTAAAATTAGGTATGTCCAGCTGTCTAAAAGAGAGAAAAAACATAAATAGCATATTTTATGCCTCAATGGTAGTATATACCATAAATACTTATTTTGCTATAAAATATGAAAGCTAGCTATAGAAAATAATATTTTAAAGGGAGAATTACGCTCCTTATCACTTGGTCCAACAGCCCATGTTTGAAGCCTTTATCTTATATGTCCCAGGTTGTACATAATCTGAAAATTACTTTTCACCAATTAGCCCATCTCATTTAATTATTTTTTTTTTCTTTTCTTCGTTCTTCTTCTCCAAGGAGACACGACTTTGCACCCCAAAATTTCTCTACCATTATATTTATTCTTTAATTCTCCTTCCATATGCAAAGTTGATAACCACTATTTAGATGAGAAGAAAAAATACTACGTAAAAGAATTATTTCTTTTTGGAGTCATACGAAGATCACTTTCTCCATTGGAATGGAGAGAATTGTGAGGTTCACTTGGTAGTTTGTTGGATCATCAAACTAGAAAGAAGATGTTGGCATTGTCTCAGTCTTATTCTCATTCCACATGTAATTTTAATCTCAGTGGTTGATTAAAAATTTGAAAAATAAAAGTCACCATTAAAGGTCGTACGAGCTTCAATTTCAGAAATTGAATATTTTGATTTGTTAGTTGTTTGGATTGGGTGTTGTCCCAATTGATTGGGATCATCAAGGAAAGTTCAAAACTCAAATTTGAAGTGATTTGGAGTAGATTTAAGCTAGATTTGAGTTAAATTTCAGAAGATATCCAAGGAAGAAGAAGAACCTGTGAAGCTCTATTGATAGGATTTATTTGTATAATAGTGTAATAATATTGTATAAGTTGTGTATAAACACTTGTTACACATTATTGTATACAAGGTTGATACATTATTTACATGTATTTGAAGGATATCTCACACTTCTTCTACACCTATATACATTGTGTATCCCGAACATTTTCACTACTGTGCTTATACATTTTTATACACTTTTTAACAACTATATATATAATGTACCTCTTTGTATAAAAGTGTATAAGCATATCTGACGAACTTTTTGTACGATTTCACTGCAATTCTTGTATAAAACTTGTCTAAATCTCCATCAAATGACTACAAACTTTGTATATAGCCTACTTAGACTATTTCTAATAAGTTCAAACAATACCCACTCCAAATTTCTCGTAAAATCATATTCGAAATTTAACAAGATTAGCATTAAAAGGAGATGGATTTTAGGTTTCTCGCGTCTGTTTTTATGTTTTGGAGTTGTGATAGGTATGTATAAACTTGAGGAAAAGGAGAATAAAAAGGAGATATTTTAGCCTGAAGATATACATAATTAAAAAAAAACGAAAAAACAATTCGGATTTAAGATTATTGATATTTGGCAAGGTCAACTTATGAAGTGCATTATTCTGTAATTTTATCTATTTTAAAATAATTTTGGTTTATAATAAATTGGGTGTATACCTTTGTTATATGAGTTAAAATTTCCAATATAGTTGGATGATTATGGGCCCTAGGGCTTTGGTCTATATGTAAGAATGGAATTCATGATGTGTGAGTTACACGCTTGTCTTGGATTCTAATCTTAACGCATACAAAAGCCGGATATTTAAGTAGAGAAAAGTAGAACGGTGGGTCCATTTTTTATCGAGTTTTGAATTGTGCACCACTAGTCTTTGGGATTTTTTCATTCTTGATAGAAGGAACACAATGATCAATGTAAGTTTATGACCATACTGAACGCAATTAGAAAACGTTTTGCTATAAATCTGTAGTTAGGAAAATTATTCTCCGTCCATAAGGAAAGTTTCTATTGAAAAAATACTTTTATCTGCTAGAATGGTAATATATTTAGATCTCGTGCGATTGTGGGGTTGTATGATTTCATGATAAAGTACCAATTGAAAGAGCATATTGAGGTTTAGCTTAGCTTTTTAGGCACAAGAGTGAACGTACAAATTCTTGTTGAGAAATATGTACTTAGACTCCTCCAAAAGTAATAGTCGATAAAATGTATTTTTTTTTTTATATATAAGCGTCTTATATATGTAAAATATACATATTTTATATACTTTTTGCCTAACGAATACAATTAATTTTGACCGACCGATTTTGTATTTTGCTCCTTTTTTTGGTTTCACTTAGTTGTTTTCATGTTAGACAAATTTAACTCACATTATGTTCATTATCCGTAAAATGATACAAATCAATAAATTTACGAATGATCCTTCATTGTTAAAGTAAAACAATCAATTTACTAACTTGAATAATTAATTCGTATTAACGCATAATGAGCATGTCCGCTTTCAAATTAAACGCATAAAGACACTATTTTTTTCCCCACCCGGCCAACTAAAGTTGGGTTGTAGCCGAGAAATCCTATATTGGAGGTAAAGCTCATTAACAAAGGCAACTTTATATTATGGGCTTGAAGATAAAATAATACTAAGTTTGATGGGAAATTCAGGATTAAGTGTGAGACTAAATTTATATCATATTTGATTGACGGTATAAATTTATACCATCAATACTTTATCTCATCTTATTTTACATTGTCCCGCGTACCAAACGATCCCTAAAAGTACTACATAACGGCAGAGGCGGATCCAGGATTTCGAGAACATGGGTGCACCATTGATACTTCAGGAAAACTAAAATAAAAGGATGTGTTGTTATCAAAAAAAAAAAAAAAA